CGCACGGGAGACCGGCCGCGCAGCGCGGGAGGAGCCGCGCCCCGCCCGAAACTGAAATTAGTAAGAGGCGCCCTGCTTCGAGGCCCGACACAGTCTCGTGGGCCGGTCACTTCGCGTGCATCGCGTGGCGCCCACTGTGCGCTGCAGGCGCAGCGGATGGTGACTAGGCCGGCGCCCTGGAGCCGGCTGGACTGGCTCGCACCNACTGGCTCGCACCGGCAGGTGAAGGAGCCGCGCGGCGGCGGCGCTGGAGGGAGGGGAACCTGGGGCTACGGGCGGCGCTCCCAACCCTCGAAAGCAGTGCCTGCGTTCATTCACCGACTGCGCTGGCCTGTGCCTGGCGGGGTCCTTACTGGGGGACAGTTTTTGCCCCCCTGGGAACTTCATTCGGGGAAGAGCTAGGCGGTAGATAATCATAGAAATCGAGGTGTTATTGTAAGTCGGACACGGAAGCTGAGCCAGAGGACGGGAAGGCATTCCGGGCAGAAGGCAGGGAAGAGCTAGCAACTGGGACCAGGCCACTGGGAACTGGAGCAGCACTGGAGAGCTTGATAGGCTTTGTGGGGTTTTGCCTTTTATCCTAATAACAATAGTAATTTCTGAGGAGTGATAAGATTTGTTAATATTTGCTTAAAATGTCAAGATTTGTTTCAAAAACATCTTGGCTGTAGGGAGTGGAGTGGATGGGGTGGAACTGGTCCTAGGGCGTGGAGGCCCTCAGGCCTTGGTGGGAAGGAGGAAGTGGGGAGGGGGTGACTGCCCTGCGTCTGGCATGAGGAACTGGGAGGTCGGAGATGCCATTTGTGTAACTGGACAATGGAGGAGGAGCCAGGGGAGGTGTGAGATGCCTGAGGAAGGTACAGGCTGCCCAGCTGGGTTTCCTAGGCTGAGCTGAGCGGGACTGAGCTATGCATTTGCGGGTCATGGATGTCTGGGTTGCTTTTCACACTCTCTATCTTGGTTTTATCAAGGTGCTTGGACACTGGAGTGAGGTAGGAGCTTGTGAGGAGAGTACTGGAGCCCCACCTTAGCACCATGTGGCTCACAATATCCTCCACCTTTAGGGGGTTCTGGTACAGCCAGCCACGGCCAAATGCAGGGGTTGTTGGGAAGCCTTCCAGTGTGCCAGGTATTTCCTTTGCTCAGAACCTGTTTGCTTTCAGATCCTGTCCACCATGGCCAGGCGCCCCCGGAGCAGCAGAGCATGGCATTTTGTCCTGAGTGCAGCCCACCGAGACGCAGATGCCCGGGCCATGGCTCTGGCAGGGACCACTAACTGGGGATATGATTCTGACGGGCAGGTAGGTGGGTACTACTGGACTAAGGTGTGGACACCCTGGAGGCAGGCTCTTCCCTGGGGCAAGAATCCCCTGAGGGCAGAGGACGGGGACAGTAGGACCCTACTGCTCACCCTGGGGTTACCCTGGTTAAGAACCCACATGGCTCTGGGTGACAGGACCTTCGGATAGATACCACTTTCCTCTCTATACTCTTTCCACTGAAGAGGGTGGCAGTTGGTTCTTTGGTCAGTTTGTTCAACAGAGTATTTCCATCCCATTTCTTAGCCAGTTTCCAAAGATAGCTATCATTAATGCCATTGCATCTTCCTGGATGGTTCCTCTGCCTATTCAGACATGTGCTTTATATTTGTGTATGTACATATTTAAAAGATCTTTAGTGTTGAAGACCACAATTCCTGTGCCTTCTCCCACTCAGTCACTCCCAAGTTCATGTTGGAATAGCAGCTCAGCTGTTTGTCTCAGTGCAGGCTGCCTGATGTACCTGAGGGCTCTGCAGCCAGAGGCTGGCTGTACCAACCCTAGGAATGGCTGGGCTGTTGCAGGGAGTGGTGGGAGGTAGATTTTCAGTTATTTTGCAGAATCTCTTAGACCAGAGCAAGGGGTTGGCTCTGCCTTGAGTCACCTCTGCTGCTTCCTTCCAGGGTGATCTTTGGGTGACTTGTCTATGCTCTGTCACAGCCACTCTGCCATGGCTCAGCCAGGTGTCCTGGGGGGTGGGCACCTCTCCTCCCTTGAGTGAGGGCAGCTGAGCCTTGCAGAACCACCAGGCCTTGAGGGAGAATTGGAGGTGACTATTCTGGGTTGGCAGCATCCTGGGGCCTCCCCAAAATCCCTGCCCAGGCCAGCAAGATGACCCTGGATGGCATTCCTGTCCCCCTTCTAGCTCCTGTCCTGACCATGTGGCTTAGAGCAGTCTGTTTTCTAGTATTTGTCCCTGCCTCGCTGGCTCATCACTCTGGGATGCAGGCAGTGTTGGGGGCCTGGGGTGCAGTGTTTGACACATGCTTGCTGCAGCCTGCCACATCATCTAATTGGCCTGGAGTATTTGAGTGTGTGGGTGGGCAGGTGGGTGTGTCACCTTGACATCATTGAAGGCTAAACACACACCTTCCTTTCTTCTGCCTTTATGGCTTGCCAAGGGGCTGGGTCTGCCCCCTGCCCAGGTTGACCTCCAGGCCTTCCGTACTCAGGTCTGCGCCCCTGGGAAGGGGGTTGCCTATGGGTAGCAGTGTGCCTGCCTTGGCTTTTGGGGGATCACTGCTCCAATCTAGTGGGGTGATTTGGGTCTTTCTGGGGTCTGTCTCTGATTGGGGTTCAACCCCCTTAGCTGTCTCTCTGGTTGGTTCATGAGCTTCTCTGTGGGCCCTGGGTATAATAGAAGGAAATAAGGACGAGGCTCTTCCCCTGCAGAGCTTCCGTTTTGGTGGGAGGAGACAGATCAACAGGACAAAGGAGACTGACTGAGGAGCGGAGAAGGAAGAGGACCCAGGAGGGAGGGCTAGAAGAGCCTCTTTGAAGTGATATCTGAAAGCTGCCAACCAGGGGCAGAGACCTCCCCCATGACAGGTGGGGGAAGAGAGGAAGGAGCCAGGGCAGGGGAATGGGCCTAGTAAGGTCTGATGGGGGTGTGGGCTTTATTCTCAGGGTAGCATGACCTGCCCCAGATCTGAGCAAGGTCACCTGGGCTGCTGTGCAAAGGGTGTTTCAAGGAGGTAAGAGTAACACCCAGAGACCAGGGTGGAGCTGGAGCCTGCCCAGGGCCCCGGGCCAACCCGAGGGTTGACAGCAGGCAGGCAGAGGCTGTCTGCACCCTCTGGGCCCCGCGCAGTGAGACCAGGGTTGCCTGGGGTCTACAGTCAAGGCAGGTGTCCAGAGAGGCCTGTGTGGCATCAGAGCAGGAATGACTGTGTGCACAGAGCATCTCCTGCTGGCTTCCAAGAGAGGGTGGGTCAACAGTTACTAGAGCCCGACCAGCTCAGCCTGGGATCAAGGCCAGGACTGAGCCCCTCAGGTAGAGGGCCAGGCCCCACTGAATGTCTTCCTAGAACAGAAGCTTAAAGCAGCTTGAAAGCCCTGGGCTCCTTAGGGCCCTGGGATGGGGGTTAAGAACCACCTGTTGGAAGGTTGACAAAGGAGCTGCAGTCCAGGCACTGCCACAGCCCAGCTGCTGCCTGTGGGGAGACCCAGGGGCCTGCATTAGGCCACCAGCGGACTTTGCTAAGGGGCTCCCCTGCTTCAGGCCACCCTCGGTGGGGCCAGCCTATCCATGATCTAGAAACTGCCTGGAGAACGATGGCTGAGCATACAGCCCCACTGTGGGCTCATCAGTGCCTGGGCCTCCAGGCCCCCTTGGCTGCAAAAGTGGAGTGGCTCTTAAGGCCGCTCTCAGGAAGCCTGTGGTGTGGTAAGCCCTCCCCAGTACCTGAGCAGGAGGTATCCAGGGTCACTCGGGGCATTGTAGAAGGGTGAGCCAGCTGTGCACTTGGGACCTGGGGAAGTGCTTTGAGGCTAAACTCACAGATCCCTTTTTGGGGCATCCAAGCAGTTCATCCATTGGCCTGTGATGGGTGTTGTGGCAAGTGGAGGGCAGAAGGCACAGCAGGAGGGCACAGCCTGCCCTTTTTCCTCAGCACAGTGACTCTGACTCTGACCCTGAGTACTCGTCCCTGCCGCCATCCATCCCCAGCGCTGTGCCCGTGACGGGTGAGTCCTTCTGCAACTGTGATAATCAGAATGAGGCCTCCTTCTGCGGCAGCCTGCACACAGCAGCCCACCGGGGCAAGGACTGCCGCTGTGGGGAGGAAGATGAGTGTAAGTGCGTGGCATGGGGTCCGACAGGGGTACACCTCTTGGGCAAGGTTAGGAGGACTAAGCAGGGGCTCAGGAGACTACCCCAACCTGGCCTTTTCTCTCCCAGATTTTGATTGGGTCTGGGATGACATGAATAAGTCCTCGGCAACCCTGTTGAGCTGTGACAACCGGAAGGTCAACTTCCACGTGGAATACAGCTGCGGCACAGCAGCCATCCGAGGCACCAAGGAGCTGGGGGAGGGGCAACACTTCTGGGAGATTAAGATGACCTCTCCTGTCTATGGCACAGATATGGTAAGTGGCTGGCAGGACTGTGAGGGGAGGTGTGCTGCTGGTGCCTTGGCCCCCCCTCTTCCTGGCCTGTTGTCTCCAGATGGTAGGCATTGGGACATCGGATGTGGACCTGGACAAGTACCACCACACGTTCTGCAGCCTGCTTGGCAGGGATGAGGACAGCTGGGGCCTCTCCTACACCGGTACGTGGGGCCCCTAAGGGCAGGCAGGCTGGAAGGGCCCCCAAGGCATCAGACTAACCCCCACCCTGCTGCCCCCCAGGGCTCCTCCACCACAAGGGTGACAAGACAAGCTTCTCCTCGCGGTTCGGCCAGGGCTCCATCATTGGCGTGCACCTGGACACCTGGCATGGGACACTGACCTTCTTTAAGAACAGGAAGTGCATAGGTGAGGGTGGCCAGGATCCCAGGGGAGACACGTGCCTGTGGGGTGTGGTTGCTACTGAAGTCCTGCAGGAAGCAAATGGGCCCGTGCTGAGTGGCCCCAAGGCTTCCTGAAAAGGTGTCCTCAAAGAACAAAGCTGGAGGTTCCAGGGTCTCCAGAGGGTGGGACAGCACAAGGGCCACCTCAGTTACCTCAGGAGGATGTCCAAGGAATGGCTAAGCCCCGAAGCCCCGTCCTGGCCCAGGATTCAGGCTGTGCCCCCTCCTCTAGGAGTGGCAGCCACCAAGCTGCAGAACAGGAAGTTCTATCCGATGGTGTGCTCCACAGCAGCCAAGAGCAGCATGAAGGTCATCCGCTCCTGTGCCAGCGCCACCTCCCTGCAGTACCTGTGTTGCCACCGCCTGCGTCAGCTGCGACCCAACTCTGGGGACACACTTGAGGGCCTGCCCCTGCCACCTGGCCTCAAGCAGGTGCTACACCACAAGCTGGGCTGGGTGCTGAGCATGAGCTGTGGCCACCACAAGTCCCCTGTGCCCTCGCCCAAGGCCACTGTCAGTCCCAACAGCCCAGAGACTCGGCGCTGCCAGAGAAAGCGCTGCCGAAGGACCTAACTTATTTTCCAATGAAAACTGCCTTCTGAGGCTAGGACAGCATTTTCTCCATCCTCTCCCACAGGCCGTGCTCCAGAGTAACAGGAGAGGGAGGAGTTGGGCCAAGGTCTGTCTGGTCTCTCTAGGACAGGCCTTGCTACAGGGGTTCAGGGGCCACAGGCCGAGACCAGGACTGCCCGAGTCCATCTGCTTCCTGTACCGGGTATGGCAGCCGCTGCTTCTCTCCTTGGAATCTCTTGGGAGTGGCCACCTCACCTCTTCTGGACTGAGACTGAAGGCCTGGGATGCTGGCCTGGAGGCTGTGGCCTGAGGCCTCATCGGACATCAGCTTTCCTGTAGCTGCCAGCCTCAGGGGACCTTGGGTTTGTCCTCACTTGCTTTGCATGTTGTCAGCTGTTCCTCCTGTCTGAGACTGAAATGAACGTAATAAACTTTGAGTTTATGCCTAACACATCCATAGTGGTAGAATTAAAAGGAGTCCACCTGGAGGCCTGGGTCTCACACATGTTCACAGCTTTTCTCCTGTGGTTCCAGTTGTGTCACAACATCCTTGGGAAGAGGCAGCCCGGTTCTCTTTTCTCCCTTGAGACTTTGTCTCACTTCTCTCTGAAGGTGCTACCTCCAAGCCTCCAGGTGACTGGTGCTTGTCCCCCAGCAGGGATTTGGATGCTACCCAGCCCTTTCTGGCTGACCTAGTTGGCCACTAGGCCTGCAACCAGTGTGTACAGCCCCCTCCAGCCAGCCCAGCATCTCCTGGAGTTTCCTCTCCTTTTCATCCCAGTTATCTAAGAACCTTTCCTGCTACCCGTGGCCTCCCCTTGGTTTCAGACCTGACTAAGAGCCCCTCCCCAGGCTGAGGGACAGGTTGTACACGGTGACTGCTCTCCCGCCACCCCTTGTAGTTTCTGGTCACTCCCTTCCTGGGGTGCCTGCTGTCCAGCTGGTTGGTGGGAGAAGGCCCTGTAGGTCAGGCTGACATGGTCAGGAGCTCAGATCCAGCAGGAGGTCAGGGTTGGTGGAGGTCAGGAAGAGGCAGATGCGGCGGGAAAGGTCAGGCCCCACCCTTCGGGGCCGAGCACCTTCATCCACCTTCACAGGGAGGTCAGCAAGGAGGGCCAGTCGCTCTTGCTCAGTGCCGCAGGCCAAGTAAGCCTAGGGCAGGCACAGGGATGAGCAGGGCAGGCCTCAGGGACCTGGCCTCCATATCTGGGAGTCTGGGGGGTGAGGGGATGGGAAGGGGCTCACCTGCTGCAGAAGGCGGGGGGATGGGAAGGCAGTGACAACAGCGTCAGCCACAGCAGGGCTGACCCGGTTGAACTGCCTGATCTGCCGCCACCAGGCCCCCCGAAGCCCTGTGCCATCTCTTGTCACTCGCTCACCTGCCGCCCAGCGCCCAGCTGTGCAGAAGGAAAAGGCCCTGGACTCCTGGAACTTCCTGAGGACGGGGAGGGTGGAAGGAGGTTTCTAGAGACTTCATCTCTCCTGATCACCCAGCCCCACCAGCTCAGCCCTCTGCTCTTAAAGAGGCCAGGGAGGTTCCACCCTCCAGATGTTCCTGTCACCCTCCCGGCAGCAGCCACCGCTGAGATGGGGGTCACGCACTTGAAGGGGCGCTGGGCGAGGGCCTTGGTGAAGGCACACACGTGCTGACTCAGCTCCTGCCAGGAGGCCACCAGCAACACATTCAGATTTGCCCACAGCTGCAGGAGCACCAGAGCCTGAGGACACAAGCACATGAGGGTGGGTCAGAGGAGGGCTCCCTTGGGGGACACTCAGCTGAGACCAACCCCACATGCCACCCTAGGACCATACCCAGGTGCTGGGCCTCAGAGACCAGCCTGAGTGTCAGGGCCAAGGCCAACCACCTCACCCAACCTGCCCTGCCCTCACCTCTTCCACCTCAGGCCAGCCGACCACCACGTCTGCACAGGCTACCCTTGGACTCTCTGGCTGCTGCATCTCCTGGGCATTGGGCTGGTGAGACCTGAACAGAGGTGACTCCCTCCAGCTCCCCATATCCCATTGGTCCCACCCTCCTTGAATTCTGCTTCCTTCAGAGCCCACCCAAGGGAGGGGTTTTAGCTGTGTCACAGCAGCCCCAGAGCTATGGTGATCTTTTCCCTGAACTCCCCCCACCCAATTCAGGCCTGCTAAGGGTGTGAGGGTGACCGGTACCAAAGGTAGGCATCCAGCCCGATGACAGCCAGGTGAGGGCAGGTGGGGCTCTCAGGAGAGATCCAGGGCACTGAATAGGCTGGGCCACAGATCTGCAAGCCAAGAAGGTTTACCACACCTGTTCCTCAGGGCTGCGACAGGTGGAGCTCACAGGCCACCAGACCACTGCCAGTTTGCAGGAAGAAGGGGAGCAGAGACAACCCAGAGACGCTGGGAGGAGCCTGGAGCACACTTCCTCTGCCCAGCCAGCTCTCTTTGGAAAATTAGCTGTGTGCCTCCCATGAGGTCAAAGGGACCTATGAAAGCCCCCAGGCAAGTCCCAGACTCCTAGGAGAGTGGCTAAGTCCCCATCCCCATTCCTGGTCTACTCTGCACCCTAGCCTGGCATTTGCCTGGCAGCAGATGCTTGATAAATGCTGAACCTCAGACACTGGGACATGGCAGAGGGTCTACCCTAATGACACTCTGGTGCAAACGTGAGCTGAGCAGTCCCTATTGCTCCTTCAGCTAGGTGGGGGCTGGGCTGTTGGCTCACAGCTGGACTGCACAGCCAACCTGCAACCCAAGTCCCCAGGGCCCCTCTCACCAGGTTCGAACCTCTGGCTCTGACTCAGCTCTCCAAAGGGCCCTTGCTATCCTTGCTTCTGCCCTCTAGAAGACACTGTGGCTCCTGTCTGCATCCAGGCCCAGAGCCCAGTTGGCTTCCCCCATCTCATCCACATCTTGGCTGCTGAAGAGAGGAGCCTCAGCCCACTGCACACCCTCTCCAGCCCCTCTGTCCTTGATCAGGACTGGCAGAGCAGCACATCAAGTCTGGGAACACAGCCCCCCACCAAGCACCTGGGTCAGCTGGAAGACACCCTGCAGAAACTCCTCAGGCTCCAGCAGCAACAGAAGTTCCTGCTCATCCACAGCCCACACCTCAGGAGGCACCTATAGGGATATCCAGAGACACTGCTACCCATCCTCAGCCTCAAGTGCCCCATGGCCTCGGCCTGAGCGCCACAGCACCTTGAGGTTCATGGCCACAGGCAAGCTCATGCCCACAGGACTGTTCTACAGAAGCCAAGGCCAAGACGAGCCCTGGTCCATAGGGCCGGCCAGCAGGAGCACTGACCACAGCGTCAATCAGGATGGAACGTTCCTCAGCACCAGCTGAGTTCAGACCCTGGGCCCAGGCCTGCAACTAACCATTGTAGTGGCTTGGGCATCACCCACTCAGCTTCCCCATTCTTAGCTCATGTGTATGATTACAGCAGCTGCTTCGTATGAAATCACGGAGGTAACACACTCCGCACTATGTAAACCCTGGAAATGAGGCTGCTGGGGCACTCACACTGCAGGGGCAAGGTTCTGGCTTCATTCTGCTCCACCTGAGGCTCCGGGCGGGGCGCTGGGGCTCGATGTGGTACTCACAGCCCAGGGAGCCCAAGGCCTCCATCAGGATGTCAGCACCAGCATCTTCCAGGATGGCTGGGGTGGGAAGAAGAGACAGAGGTCACTCCTTTTCTTCCACCTGAGGATGCTACTCACAGCAGGCCCCCAGCCTGGGCGAAGTATTACAAACACACTGATTCTGCCGGCTCCAAGAGCGCAATTGGGTACAGATGCCAGAGTCTTTCAATCAAGCTCCCCAGTTGGAAAGCCGGAGACAATGCCAAGATGCCCCTCTCACCCCACAGTGGGCCGGGGATAACCTTCCAGTGATTAAGGGGAGCTTTCAAAGCCCGAGCTCCAGTCGAAGTAGAGCTTCTCCCAGGACCCCTGCCCTCGCCCTCGGGCTCACCTGGGTCCACGCGCACCGCCAGGCGCCGCAGCGCCTGTTCGGGCCGCAGCAGCCGCAGCGCCTCGGCCGCCGCTCTGCGCTCCTCCGCTGGGTTCCGGGCCCTCACGGCGGCCTCTGAGTCGGCTTCCGCGCCGACAGGGCCCTCGGTATCCGAGTCCGAGATCTCCCAGGTCGTGGGCCGCCGCTGTCCCCGACCCCGGGAAGAACGCCCGGCCCTCCGAGGCCCAACCTTCGCCATGGCCGGCCGGCCGGCCTCTCCTCCGCTTCCGGCCGGGCCCGGACGCCTTTACGGAGAACACCAACCGCTTCCGGCGGCGGGCGGGTTTGGCGAAAGCGCGGCGGCGGCGGCGGCTTCTTACAGCAGGAGCGCGTAGCACCGACCGACCATGGCGCGCAAGAAGGTGCGGCCGCGGCTGATCGCCGAGCT